TCCACTTCTGGGGTCAGGAAAAGTTCATGCTAAAATGTGACACCTGTAGCTGTAAGTGATCATAAAAAGGTGGCTAGGTATTTTTGGTGACATCAATCTGGCTGGGGCCTCCGGCCAACTGGGAAAATGTCATGTGATTGTGTACTTGAGTCCTGACTCCTGAGCTGCAGTGACTGTACTCAGTCCACTCCTTATCATTCAGGATAGTTTTACTTCTACATAGTTTTTTTAGAAATCATAGTATGTGGTAACCTTATCTTCATTTAATAGCATGATATGAAGAATAAATTATAGTAGAAAATAATCAAATATAAAACAATGCACTATTATGGAAGTTCTCATTTTATGAAAAATATTTATGCTGAAAGAGGTTCTTTCTCTTCTGTTGGACTCTATGAACAAGTACAATAAAATTAGGGTACAGGGAGAAGTAAGGGTCATGTCTCTTTTAATATATGTATTTATAGACAAAAATAATATATTCTAATTAAGCATTCAAACAGTACAAACATGTATCAAGTAAAAATGAAAACTTTCCTTCACTCCCTCCCCAACCTCATAGGTAATCACTGTTGAAAGTTTGATGTAGATCCTTGTAGATGTTTTTCTGTGCATTTACAAATCTGTATATATATGTGTAGATGTACACATATGCATTTATAAACACCCCCTCACTCACAGAAACACAGCATCTAGAAGATCTTTCCATGTTAGTATGTATCTCATTCATTTGAATGACTCTATGTTATTACATAGGTAATATACCATAAGTTATTAAACAGTTACACTGCTGATGGGTGTTTGTGGAATTTTCAGTTTTTCATTTCTAAAATAATGCTGCCTTGCCTTTCTTTATACATATGTCTGTGTGCACACATGCCAGTATTTCTGTGGTAGTCCCACAAGTGGATTAGCCAGGTCACTGGAGAGATATATACATATTCTTTTTTTTTTTACATTTTGAAAGATACTATTCTGTTGTCTTCCAAAAAGGCACTTAGTTTACTGACCTTCAGTTCACGAGTGTGCCTGGTCTGCTCACTCACCCTCATCAGGGTTTAGAGGTTTATATGTTAAAGGATGAACCATAATATCCCATTTCATTGATTTCTATGAGGTTGGGCATCTTTAGATATCTTCATTGACCATCTGTTTTTTATTCTTTGAATTGTCTATTCAAAACATTTGACCAATTTTCTTTTGGGTTGTCTTTTTTATATGGATTAGTAAAAACTCCTTAGATTTTGATATCGGCCCTTTATTGCACATCACAATGTTTTATTCCAGTCTATTCTTAGTCTCTTAACTTTTTTAATGGACTTTTGTTTAAAATTTTAAGTATTAAAATCTGCCAGTATTGTTATTTTTACTTTGTTGTTTTGTGTCTTATGGAGGGAAGCCAAAATTATAAAACTATTATTTTTATCTTTTATATATGCTAGTTTTTTATTTTTATTTATTTATTTATTTTTTTCCTTTTTTTGTCTTTTTTCGTGTCCGGCAATGGACGGCAACCCTCAGTGTCGCGCCCGTACCAGACCGGGACCGGCAACGGGATCGCAAACCTCGGTGCTGCGCCTGCACCTCGCTCAGCCAAAAAAATATGTTGATTAACATTCTTTAAAATGTCTTTCCAGATAAGGAAAAATTAAATATTCATATCACTAAAATAAATATGCCTTGCTTAAGTATTCTTAAAAACTTGGCAGTAAAGCAAATGTTTACTACTATTTTTCCATTAATTTATATGACATCATTAGAGTTGCATTCTAGTAGGGAAATGTTTTGGCTCTGAGACTTACAAAAATTGTGCTTATGACTTCCAAATTGTTTTCAGTATTTTTTAGAGGAAAAAGTTTTGGTCAACACTGCTATAGTTTTGGTAAACACTGATCAGAAAACAGTTTCTAATCAAAATAATACAAAATATGGTTATGTTTCACATTTAGAAAATTGCTCGTGTGAAGGATAGCAGTACTCTTAGCAGCAGCCACCCTTGAGGGCAGTAAACACCCTGTGAATCATTACCTTGCCTTTTAAATGAAACCTAGATACACAGCAGATCTCCTTCGTCTTAGCACCAGACATTATCTCCTTATTAGCTTCAGACATTATCTCCTTAAGCCTTCCCTTCTAAACCTAAAATCCATTAACTCCCTGCGGATTTGGGGTGGTTAATAAATGGGTTGAGACAGCCTTGGCTGCTTCTGCTTGGGGCACCTCTTTATCCAGAGACTGTCTCCCACACAGCAATGTGTCAGTGAGCACTGAAAGGCTCCAATCCCCTAATGTCCTTTGTTTCTGTATCTCTTGGAGAGATACACAAAAAGCTGAGAACGTGGGTTGCCTCTAGGGAGGGGAACTTGTGGCAAAGGGCAGGCATGGGAGGGAAACTTTTCATCCCTCACCCTTATGAACCTTTTGAATTTTTGAAATGTAAGAGTGTATTACCTAGTAAAAAACAAACATTTATTCTGCTCCTTTGCATGAAGGTAAAGAAAAAAAGATTTTTTTAAAGCCTTTAAAGAAAAACTAGAGGATTCATTCTCTAAGTCCTCATTTCTGTAAATGAGGATTCCATCATGGTGGGTTTTCCTGAATAATGTGCTGGCACTAAGATTGATCATGACTTCCACTTTTTGTGCACCGAAAAGACACCTCTGACACCTCCATCATGAAATATATTCTGCAATATGTTCTTCATCTGTACTGATGAAGAATTGTGGTGATCCACTCTTCCACTCTCTCATCTAATTTCCCTAGTTTCTCGTAGTGTTTTCCAGGTAGCTCTCTGGAATTGGAATGTACTGTAGGGCCTTGCAACAAGGGCGGGGAACACTGGTCCTGTAAGACCTGTGCACCGTGCACAAATCTCACACGTCAGGATGGCTCATTTCACAAAGACCATGAGACAGAGACTAATGCAATCAAACAAGAGGAGTTTATTCCAGCATGCTGGGGTCACTCAGTCTCCTGGACAGAAGCGACCCCAGGCTCTTAACACAAGCACTTTTTATACAGTTTTTTTGACAGACTTTTGCAACAGGATGAGTTGTATACTGCTTACGGGTTATCTGAGGTGACCTTTAGATTTATTGGTGGGCTTTAGCGGCTGGCACCCTGATAAGGAACAGTGTATTTCCCAATCGTTTATCTTCCTTGTGGTCAGGCCAGGTGGCCTCTAGATAAGGAACTGGTCAGTTCCTGGAACCGGGTGGTGATTACTCTCTTCCTGGAATTTAGCATGCCTGGGCCTGCCTTGACTATGCCTGGCCTCTACATAACCCCTTAAAAGCTGCTTTACTTAAAATGACATTAGTTATGTTTTCCCATTTTTAGCAAGCATTCGTACAGAAGCAAATTGCGCCTGTTAAAAGTTATACTTTTCTTCTACAGTCCCAGTAAGAATTCATCCTGTGGCCTGATATGCCAACCAAGCTCTAACCTCCATTTCTTAGAGCACTTGCTGCTTTTCTGGCCACATCTAGTATTTTCTGCCCCCAGCAGCTGCCCACTCAGCCCACTGTTCAAAACCCAAAAGTCCATTTGAAGGGCAATAGGTAATTAGATAGGGTCATTGTGACTGTGACAAACAGAAGCCATGTCCCTTTCCATAGTAAATGCAATTTCTACAATATAAAATAATTCTCTAAGTTATAAAGACAAATTGCATGGAAGGCCAAATTTTACTTAAAAACTAAATTTTAAAAGGGTTACAGCTGAGCCATAATATTATGGGTAACTTTAATATTCTTCTGGATATTCTCTGTTTTCCTTTTTTTTAAGTGTTAACATGTAATCAGATTTGTAACAAAGAGAGAATATCACTTTTTAAAAATAAACTTTTAATTTTGTAAATGATAGCAGTCTTAGAGTGTGCGAAGTGCCTTCATATATATATAATTTTATTAGCTTGTAAAACTTTTGCTTGTTATATTAAGGGATATTATCATAAAATCATTGAATTAAAGCTCTTAGAGTCAAAATGGGCCTCACGAGATCGTGGTAGGTCAAGTGGAAAAATCAGGATACTGACTAAATGTATATATAACAGTGGTAAATTTTATTTAAAATTCAGATGTGTAGGAAAAAAGATTAGGAAGTAACATCAGAAACTTACTGGTTAATGGTTTATATAGAGTGGAGTTATAGTTATTTATTCTTTTCTCTACTTTTCAAATTTTCTCAGTGTGGTTATGTTGAGATTGATATATATATATATATTTGTATATACACTACACACACATATATAGATATATATTCTAGGCAATGATCTTATTCTGTACCTTCTTAGGTATTACTATCCTAGGTGGATTTACAGATAAAGCAAACCTCTCTTTTAGCTTCTAGGTGTGCTTATCAAAATGTCACATGGTGGCAACTATACTTGGGACTGTAATAGAAATTAATTATGGGGTCCTCTACAGAGGAATGAGAAGGCTGCTTCTGTAGTGATACTGTCTTTCATAGATGCTCCATTTACTTGCTACCTGGACGGAAACTAAAAAGAGTTACAAAATGCTTGCTTTAACTACGGAGAGTTGAAAGCATGCTCGGTATTTGGAATAATAAGAGCCCAGCCAACATGTGGTCTGGCCTCTCAGGTGGAACAAGGAGATTCTTCATTTGTTCAAAATAAGTGTCTGTGCATGACAGTGAAACTTTTAAAGAAAGAGGGAATGAATTATTCAGAATTTCTGTATATATCAAGTAGGGAAGTAAAGGAAAGTAGTATTTTACAGCTGTGAATAATTATATATTTTATATAATCTAGATGAATTTACAGAAAAATGAATAATTTTGTAAAACTTATATTGTGGAGGAATCATCTTTAGGGAAATAGTTATCTTTACCTGAATTCAATGACTTAACAATAGCTTTTCTCCCTATTCACTCTCTCTCAGCAGCATGAAAAAAAGAAAAAATGTATTACAGTTTTTATAAGAAGAAAACATAGGTAACTTCAAGCTTTGAGTCTTGGGAAAGTTCTGAAAAGAGGGTGGACAAAAACTTGGGTCCTTAGGGCACAGCATATCTATTTATTATTCCACCAACTTGAAGCCTAAAGCCAAAACTGTCATTCTGTCAGGTGGGCAAACTTCCTAGGAGGTAAAGCTGAACATCTCATGTTTTAAGATGAATGCAGACCACTGAGTAGTAACAAACTTAACAATAATTTGCATTTTCAGTACTTCTAGCCATAAAATTTTAGAGCTGAATTTGAAGATAAGATGCCTAATTTTTTTTTTTTTTGTCCTTTTTGAGACCGGTCGTACCGCGCTCAGCCAGTGAGCACTGTGAGCGCACCGGTCATCCCTATACAGGATCCGAACCCGCGGCGGGAGCACTGCTGCACTCCCAGTGCCGCACTCTCCCGAGTGCGCCACGGGCTGGGCCCAAGGTGCCTAATTTAAACACGACATTAACGTCCTTTTCTGGTTAGATAGAACAGGAAAATATATGAGTTGTTGTTGGTCTTGTGTTTTGTTTTGTTTTCTTACCAAATCTAGGCAGTCTGTACAGAGAGGTTACAGTTCTGATCCCAGGCTTCGTCAGCCTATTACTGCATTCACAGTATTCCTTGGTCACCGTTAGCCAGTCCTTGAAGCTACACAGGTGGCCTGTGACCTTCCACCACAATCCAGACTGTGGAACTCACTGTCTACTGGGATCCATGGGCAAATGGTGTCTGCAGGAAAAAAAAAAAAAAAATCTTATAGAGCCCTTGCTAATTTTTGGAAATTAAAAGCAGGATACTGTCCAGGAAAGTGCTTGGCTTTAGAAGATTATCTCTTCTGGTCCACTGACTACTCACTTTCTTGCCCAGCCCAATTTTTCATTTACCTTCTTCATCCCACAGACATTACCAATGGGAAGAGAGAATGTCTTATGGCAGGTTTCCCACACTTGTCCTTTGAATTCAGGACAATGAACATCTGAAGATTAGGACATTGTGGAATGTTTGATGTGCAAAACAAAATAACTGCAAAATTAGATAAGTTTTTATTTAATTCCTAGAAAAGCTGACCCTAAGAAAGTAGCACTTGGTGTGAGGATCCTGAAGTCACAGGGTCTTTACCATCTTGTGTGGTCAGGACTCCCTGGGCTCCTGCTGCCTTCATGTGGGTGGACAGAGTTAGTGTGTCCTGCTCCTAGGGAGGTCACCCTGCTAGTTTCAACCCCAAGGGTAACACTGGATTTGCTTTTCTGGTCATTGTGAAAAGTTTGAGGATAGCCCATTCTCACCTATTCTCCTTTGTGGTAAAAGGCAGATGTTTCTGAGACAACTGTAGCAATCGAAGTGTAGCCCAGGAATTTTTTTCTGGTCAAAATTGATCAAAACTAACTGACAGAAGTAGAAATACAACTGATCACCTTTTCTATTCCATTCTACCCAGAAGGCACCAAAAAAACTAACCCTGAATGAACGTACAGATGAGGGCATGTTTTGATCTCATTCTTTAATGTAGGTTAGGAGTACAGAATCTGGAGCCTTAGCATCCCTGTGCCTCAGTTTCCACATCTGTACAAAGGGGTTAGAGGAGTACTTACCTCATAGGATTGTTTTAAGAGTTAAATGATTCTATGTATAGCACTCGGACTTGTGCTGGGCACATAGTAAACATTAGTAAATCTTAACTTGTTATTATTGTCCACCTCTCTTTATTTCACATTTTATATAAGAAGTTTGATTTAAGAGGTTTCATTTACTCTTTTGGAACATTTTCTTAGAATTTCCATATTTTTCTTCAGATCGCAGTTGACTCTTCCTAGAAAGCATTTTGGAACGTTCTATCAGATGAGTTATCATATATCAGTATCCATTTACTTGTAATTAAGTTTAGGGGTCTTATGATTGGACTCTTCAGTTACACAGAATTATTTCTAGAATTATTGAATAACTTTCTAAATGTTCCTGAAGATGTGTTCAGTTATTTATGCATTTAGCAAATATTTACTGAGTGCACAGACAGGCATTCAAAGCAGGACTTGGGAACAAATGGGAAGAGGAGGGTGAAGGAGAGAAATGAATTGCAAATTTGAGGTTCCTACACTAAAAATATTTTAAAAGACAGGACATTAAATAAGACAGAAAGTGCAAATGCAGGTTAACAAGAACAATTTTGTACAGTTGTGGATATGCTTAGTAGGTTCCTGTGGACTATCTGGGTGGAAAAGCCCCATGGGCATTTGGAAATTTAGATGTAAAAGTAGATTTGGAGTCATTAGCAGGAGGTGATGAGAGGCTGAAGCTAATACAATAGTGACTGTTTGTTGCTTTTGTTTTATAACTACAGACCAGGTATAACCAAATCCCTTTGTGAAACATCTTGCTCTGCTTCCAGATATGAACTTCAAGAATAGTGATGTTTTATGTCTTGATTGCTCTATAACCTGAATGATATAACCAGCATCCTTTAGAGAAGGGTTGTCTCTGCTTTCTAACATATAATTTATTTGTAACAGTAATTCAGTTGGGGGATGTCTAGAGCTGCCTTCATTGTAAGCATTACCATGCCTTATTCAGTTCACTGAATGTGGGTAGAGTGGCTCCTATACCACGGACTCAGAGTTTCTGTTTCTAATTCCAGGTTTCATCGTCCATAATGAAGTGCAAGTCTATTTGGAAACATAAATTGACCATCTTTGAGAGAAGCCCTGCTTCCTGAAAACCTGATATTGCACTGGGATTTGAATCTGTTTGTTTCCACTGTGGTCAATGACGCGTGTGACTTGGCTTTGTTGGAAAGTGCTCCTCACCTGTACAGCCCAGATGGGGCCAACAAGCAAAAGGAAGGATGCAGTCGTCCTTGCTGCCCAGAAAGTGTATTGATGGTAAGGGACACCATGGTTACACCAGTTATTCCTCATCAGGAGTTTGATCAAAGAAGATGAGCAGAAGACAATCGCTGGCCCCCTATTACCAGAAAGCCAAATTTTATAGTGCTGGGCACTGGAAAGGGGTGGGAGTTGAAAATCAGAAAGAAAGAAAAATATTTCATTATGTTAATGAAGAAAAGAAAAATTGAAGCATAAATGTATTTTTGAAACAGGCATTTGGTAGCTGAGAACATTTTAAGGGATTTGGGAGTCTGGTTACCCAATGAGGATTCCTTAAAGACTTGATCCTGGAAGAATATTCGTGTTCCACCATTATGTTGGTACCGTATAGTACCATTATTTTTTGTTGTGCCAGTGAATCCAATTGCCAGAAATAAGTCTGAATATTTTCATGCATCTTTTACTTAAATGCAAGAGGCTTCTCCTGACTCTTAACAAGCATGCTTACCCAAATTTTGTTGCATGCTTTAAGTAGCATAACTATACACACTTGACATTTTCTTATATTCCTTTTCTAGTGTACCAATCTTCCACGAGGATAAGAGGACTGGGAATAAAGTCAGATGTAACCATGACCCTATAAAACTGTAGCAAGCTTTAGAAATAAATCTTTTGGTCTTTCCCTATTTTGATTATGTCCAAAGTCAAAGTGACCGTACTTGATCTAAAGAAGATAGTATTGACAATCATGATACCTTTTTAAAAAACCTGAATCCAGAGGTAAAACTTAAATGAGATACAAGTGTGTGTGCTGCCTGCAGTTAGTTCTGAATGAGAATGCAAAGACTGGTTATTTTTCAATGCTGCATTAATAGAAAGTTGGGTTGCTGCTATTAAAAAATAAAGCATATGGATCAAAAAGTACTCACCCAAAGGCTTAAAAGAACGCAGAAAATTTCTTCTAAGTTGTATGTGAGGAAAACCTCATCTTGTCTTTTGACTATCTGCAGATTGCATCCCTAAATATAGTATTTACTTTCAATGCAAAAGAATCAGTGAGATTAAAGTCATGGAAAGTTTCTCTATGAGCCTATCAGTCAGTATTGTTTACATTTAGAAACGCTCTGTTGTATTGCTATTTTTCATGAAGTCACAGGCACCAAATGCATACAACCATACATAAATACTACCTTTCATTTAATTGTTTTTTCACGATTGTTTTGTGCCCCTTTTATTAAAAACACGTGAAATGTATAACAAGACAAGACCTAAATAGGGTTTATTTTACTCTCAGAGCTTGAACTAGAATTTTCTGAAATGTTTCTGGTTTATCATATGGAAGACTAATTTTTAATTTCAACCCAAAAGTAAGCATTTAATCTGGTGGGTAAATGTAGATCCTGCCATTCATTGGTATTTTGAAGAACCACTTCAAAGTGGATGATTTTGCTTAAAAATAAAAAATTTTAGTACCAGCTAGATTATTTAGCACCAGCCCAGGACCATTTGATAACTAAGAAGAGTTACCAGCATTATTGTGCCTCGTGTTGTGCTCAGCTGTGTTATTAATAAAATAAACCTAGATTCTGCACTGCTGTCATTTCATTAATAGGATAAGACATATTTTTGCTTTGAAAAAATTTTTCTGCTAGCCTAAGTGTCTGTCCTGGCTGTTTTTTGTTTTATAGTGTTTCAATCCTGCCATGAAAATTAACTTTTTTCAGTTTTTAACCCAAAGTCATCCTTTTCCTTATAATATTTTATTTTATTATAGTTTCAGTGCCTTGGGAAATATACCAAGGAATATGTTTCTTTTAATTTTCTGTGCTTATAATCTTTGAACATTGTTTTATTTCTAATCACAAGGCCTCTATCTAATAGTAAATATGTGACATTATAACTGTTTTATCACTCAAGATACATGTCATAAAAAGTTTCTATTTGTTTGATAAAAGGAACAATTTTTTCCCACTAGTGGAGCGCATGATGCAATTTTATTCCCAACAATGATAGACCCAGTACAAAAATGAAAATCTGGTACTCAATATTTTGTTTTCTTTGTATAATATGTTAGATTTATGAAGTACCCGCACTTTTTCTTCATACTGACTGATGCGTTTAGAGAAAATTTTATAAGCTAGAAGTTTAAAAGTTAAAAAAAGATTCACCACCACTAGTCTAATATTTAAGTAATTGGAACTACCAATTATTTCAGTAGAATGATTCTTTAAATAAAAAGCGGTGGAGAGCCGGCCTGGTGGTGCGGCGGCGCTCCCGCCGAGGGTTCGGATCCCATGTGGAGACCGGTTCCCGCTCACTGGCTGAGCGCGGTGTGGGCGCAACACCGAGGGTTGCGATCCCGTTGCTGGTCCCCGGTACAGGCGTGACACCGAGGGTTGCGATCCTGTTACCGGTCAGTAAAAAAGACAAAAAGGAAAAAAAAAAAAGTGGTGGAAAGAATTAAAGGATTATGAGCTGAGCCATATTTTGTAGAATAAGGTTCTATTTTCATAGTTAATTTTAAAAGGCAGAAACACTGCATATTCCTTGCTCCTTGCCTGCCCCTCCAGCAGCCCTTCCAGAGGTCTCCTGCGTGGCAGCCCTAAAAGAATGCAAAGGTCAAGACTACCCTCCATGTAATCATGCCTCTGCCCACCAACAGTACTTCTGCAATCCAACCAATTAGTGCATGAGCTACAAAGAAAATAATGTGTGTGGGAACTGGATTTCTGTTGTTGCTGTTGTAACACAATTCCAGATTTTTCACTTTTTGAAGTGCAACATTAGGCTAACATAGAGGAAGTAAGTGGGTTTTCCTGAGTCCCCAAGATATGACTAAGGAAGAAAACAAACCCATTTCCAAGAAGGTCCCAGGCATGGAAGCACTAGACAGACTGTAAAAAGCAAAGTGACCATTTTCACCATTTTTAAATGGGGAAAGAGAAACCATTAATATTAAGGTAGTAAGAAGATGCTAAATGGGTTTTATCAGCACTTACATGGTCATTACCAATCAATCTGACAAAATCAGTTCTCTGGTGATCAGTGTTAATTTAAGGCAGCTTACCTGATAATTTCCTGTGTATGTGAGGTGTCTTGCATTTTTTTATGTTAGCTATAATTTATCTTCATGTTAATATCGTAAATTATTTAACTGAAATCTATTATATTCAGAGAACCGTTTGGGGTATTTCATCAGCTATTTTAAATGGGGAGAAAAACAAACACGTCTATCTCTCTGATTTACCCAGAAAAACTGACTCTCTGGTTCCATCTTCGTATCCTTCATAAGTGTAATGAGTGTAGTCACTTATCTTTTTTTTTTTTTTGTCACTTATCTTTTTCTAATGTTAGCAGCTAGTTCTGTTAGTAGAAAGTTCTGAAATTTAAATGCAAAATATATTTAAGGAAGTAGAAGAGTTGAATACACCCCTCAAAAATCACCAAATATTGAAAATGAGAGATGAATCCTTAAAACCCATAAGTTAGGTTTTATGCCCTGCAATTAATTCAGGGCTGCAGTGGCACTTTAAAAAAAAAATACAGTAGTTTAAACTTAAAAGAGAAAAAATCTGCATTAACACTGCATGTTCTGATGTGTACCACATTAACACCTAATAGGTATTTTATTATTACTTTATAGAGTCATATGGATACCACTTTTAAAAATTATACTGTATTCACAACAGAAAAAGACAGTCTTGTTTACCACAAAGTAGTATGTCCACATTAAACAGTGAAAACTGTCTTCCTTTCTTGTTAGAAAATGTCTTCAGTCTGTTACCTTTTTTAAGTGGTCCTAGCACCAAATTTCACACAGAGTAAGAAATCTTCCTCACAGCAGGTGAGATGGAATTAAACTGGTACAAGATATATAAATTTATGTCATTTTCATCAGTGTGGTAGAACTGTTTAAGCATTCCTAAATTCTAATTATATCAAGCCTATCCTTACTAGTAAAAGTGTATGCTTTGAGATAAGAATTAATTTCTTCACATCATTAGAGTATGTTAAGAGCACTTAGGAACCAGGTAGATGCAATTTATTTACAAAATTGTCCCTTGGCCTCTTGAAATAGCTAATATTCCACTACTGAGTATTTGCTTTCTCCTTTGGGGGATAGGGGGAGGATATATTACATCATTTGATTTGACAAAGTGGAATGAACTTCCAGAACTGAAGTATGTCCTAGAAGAGAAAGCAATGACAAAAGTAGCATCGTAACACCAAGGTCAAGGGTTCAGATCCTGATGCCAGTCAGCTGCAAAAACCAATAAGCGAATAAACAAAAAAACAAGACAAAAGTAATCGTCAAGTTAATAGGAACATCTTTCTGAGATAAAGCACATTCCCAGATAGTTCAAATCTAATTTTCAAAGAGGAGCATTAGGCTTTACTATAAAGGCAGATGGTGACCAAAGAGTGGTGGGGACAAAGAACACCCCCAAATCATTCTCATTTTCACTTTCCTTTTACTTTGTGTAATCATTAAGCTTAAGCTCTGTATGAAAATGCTAACCCCCATTAGCATTACCATTTCTAGAAAGCAGCTGAAAACATAGCCTACTATGCTCTTTTGAAGACAGGGTCATCCCAAATTAAGAAATTCCATTGTATATGTTATAAGATTTCTGGAGAATCCTGTGGCAGCTAGTCCCACCTAAAGCCAACCCTATAAGAAAGGGTCATTTTTAGCTATGCTAGGACTTACTGTGCACACAAAAATGTCATGCAGCTTGTCACATTACTAGCACAGTTGCACGTATGAGCAAAGCACTGTTGATCAGAGTTTCTCAGTGGGGATGCTATTGGCATTTGGAGATGGGCAAATTTTTGTTGTACAGAAATATCCCACGCATTGCAAGATGTTTCATATCCCAGGCCCCTGCTGATTAAATGCCAGTAGCATTCTCATTCACTGTAAAAACTAACAGTAAAAAGCCCTCCCCCATGTTCAAATGCCCTTTCTAGGAGGGTGGTACCACCTCACTGAATACCACTGTCTCCTGCAATTTGGGGACACACAGGAAAAAGTGCCTATCCCAAAACATTGTCTCTGCTGCCTTGCATGTCTTTGTGCCCTGAATAGTTTTCCCCCCTTCATTTGTTGAGTCTTCTGCTTTAATGCAGCTTTCATTTGCCAGTTCTTCAGGGAGGAGGTTACCGGGCAGCCTTGGCAGTTCCAGTGGGCATAGTGACCTGGTCTGATCCTGGTACGTACTTAAAAGAGAGATTTTACATGAAGTGAGGTTTTGTGTTTTTTGGTTTTCATTTTCATTTTTGTTTTTTGCCTCACAGTTTTACTCCAGAACTACATTGTTGGTCATAATCTTTATCAATATCATCAGGATTCTTACATGAGTTAAACACAAACACAATGACTAACAATCCACATAAATAAAGCCCGTGGACTTTGGAAATCACCATTGGATTCTACCTAGTAACACTGCATTCATTGAGTTCCAAAAGAATCACCTGTTTATCCTATCAACAAATTATTTAATCCACATGCAAGTACTTGAATTCCCCCTGTGTAAGTGTAGTCATACGTTTAACTTTAGATTCTACCTAGTAACACTGCATTCATTGAGTTCCAAAAGAATCACCTGTTTATCCTATCAACAAATCATTTAATCCACATGCAAGTACTTGAATTCCCCCTGT